TAGGTTACAGGAGAACTTTGCGGCTTCTGCTGGTCTCGAGGAGGGACCTTATGGAAGAAAGCTTTAATAAATCATAAAGTCAGAGGTGTGTAAAAGGTGGTCTGAAAAGCTGGTCTTCACATGCAGATTTCCTGAGGGTAATATAGAGGTTGTCGGTGATGGCTTGCATGACGTGCTCATCCGGTTTAACGATGGGCCTATTTTCCAGATGGTGGATGATAACATTGATCTTGTGGATATTAATAGAGAGCAAGCCCAGTGTGGGATGACCCAATCTATTTCTAATAGTTTTAGATTACTAGGCGTTCCAATAATCCAAGTCTATTCTCTGCTAGACCGAGTGGATAGAGTGCGGGGAGAAGCTCCTACGGTTAACTTAGATAAATTTCCAGTCAATTTCGATGGTGTTTTTAATTCTGCAGTGGAAAGGGGGTGAATAATGTCTCTTCTACGCAAAATGGCAGAAAGGCTCGTTGTAGAAAGAACTCTATGCAAAAGAAGAAAAATACGAAGATTAGTAGGGCGAAGTCTATTGCAAAAAAACCTTTCGATGGGGTGGGTACTTCCAGTGGGGTCAATTTCGATCGGCCTATGGGGAGTGATAATGAAGCCGAGGCAACCTTAGCAGTGGCCAATTCATTGGGTGTGCAATTTGACGCTCCTTCGAAGAGGGTGATTGCGAGATTGAAGAACTCTGTCCAATCGGGAAACATTGATTTGGATTTGTTCTTGGGTGTTATGTGTGTGATTGGTAGTTTTTTTATGGTTTTATATTTTTTTTATCTTGTCATAGAATATTAGAGGGTTAGGAAGGAATGAAAAAATGAGAGCAATTTGTTGGGCGATTGATTCAAATAAAGAAAGGGTGGTGTTGCTACAGGAATCGAAAATGGGGAGCCTATCTGTTGGTGTAGAGAGAAGGTTAAAGGGTCGGTTTGCTAGGGAGTTGGTTTGTGCTCCGGCAGAGGGTGCTTCAGGGGGGTTGATTTCTATATGGGACAATGACGTTTTTAACGTTAAGTTACATAATGTTTTCAGGAGAGTCATTATGTTAAAAGGTTTCTTGTACAACATAATCGAGAAATAGGCATCATCAATGTTTATGGTCCGAATATATATGGTGATAGAGTGAGTTTCTTTGAGCAGTTAAATACTATTATAGATAATCTGAAGGTTCCGGTCATTATGGGTGGGGATTTTAATATAGTGAGGTCGGATTTGGAGAGAACAGGGGATCACAACATCGCGTCCTCAACGTCGGTCTTTGAAGATTTTATTTTGAAATGGGATCTGGTTGACGTTCAAAGTTTGGGTAGTGTTTTCACTTGGTTCAGGGGTGGTCTGAGCACAATTGCTAGTAGGTTAGATCGATTTCTTGTCTCGGCTGATATTGTGAGTTTAAGTCCTAATCTGGTGCAAACAACTCTTAATAGAGGCATATCAGATCACTGTCCTATTCTGTTGAGTGATAGGTTGCCAAAAATGGTAAGTAGGCCTTTCAAATGGTTTAACCATTGGGTAGGTGAACCAATGATTGCTGATAAAATTAAATTGTTTCTTGGCGCCAATCATGGGAAAGATTTGAACCACGTTCTAATGTTAGCTAAGAACGCGATTAAGGAATGGGTTGGTGTGCGTAGAGAGTCAAATGATGAGTCGATTATTGCCTTGGAGAAAAAATTGATTCATTAGAAGCTTTCTGTATTGTGAATCCTAGTGATAAGATATCTCAAGCAGAACTTATGTCAATAAAGGCAAAGTTGTGGTCGGAGCATAGACTTATGGAAAGAGAATGGTTGCAAAAGTCGAGACTAAAGTGGTTTAGAGAAGGATATAAGAATACCAAATTCTTTCATCTTACTACTGCGTTCAGAGGGTGCAAAAATCAGATCTCGAAACTGAAGGTGAATAATTCGGTCTTCAAAAATCAAGTAGGGATTCAACAAGTTTGTGTTAATCACTTTTTCTCTTGTTATAATGAGGTGAATACCATCCCGATTAAGAGGTTTGATGTCCCGTTTAAAAGGATTGGAACTGCTACTAGAAGATGGATCGAACATCTTTTCTCGGAAGAGGAGATTTGGCTCGCTATTAATTCTTTGGATGGTTCAAGAGCCCCCGTGTCGGATGGTTTTAGCTTGGATTTTTTTAAGAAGTTTTGGGAAGTTATTAAAGTCGATGTCATGAAGTTTGTGGTAGATTTTTATTGGGGTAGGATTTCTGATTTATCTTTTAACAAATCTTTCATTGCTCTAATTCCGAAGAAATCTCAAGCAGTCTTTCCTGAAGATTTTAGACCTATTTTATTGGTGGGTAGTATTTATAAAATTGTGGCGCGCGTATTGGCTAAGAGGTTGGCGTCTTGTATTAATGATGTAATCGGTGAGAATCATTTTGCTTTTATGGCCGGTAAACAGATTTTAGACTGTTCCTTGATTGCGAATGAGATCGTTGACGATCTGAAAAAAACAAGAGAGAAGTAGTTTTGGTTAAAGCAGATTTTAGAAAAGCATACGACACAGTCGATTGGGATTTTTTGAGCTTGATTTTAAAGAAAATGGGGTTTGGAAAAAGATGGAGGAGATGGATTTTCTTTTATATTTCGACACCTATTATTGTTGTTTTGGTTAATGGGAGTCCATCGAAATATTTTCCTATTAAAAGGGGGCTTAGGCAAGGATGTCCGCTGTCGCCTTTTTTTTTTTAATATTGTGGGAGAGGCACTTAGTGGTTTATTGAATAAAGCGGTTGCTCTTGATGCTTGTCAAGGGGTGCATATAGGTTCAAATAGAGTAACGACTTCCCACATTCAATTCACCGTTGATTTAATTCTGTTTTCGGAAGCTAATGAAGAAAAAAATTTCAATTTGTTCCGGGTTCTTAGAATCTTTGAGGTTGCTGTTGGGCTCAAATTAAATATGCAGAAAACATTACTATTTGACATTAATGTGAATGAGTGCAGAGTCAAAGAGTGGACAAATTTGTTGTAGTGTGATTGGTCCAGGTTGTCATCGATGTATTTGAGGCTACCGTTAGGTTACAAAAAAAAACCTAAAGCTGATGTGGAATCCTATTGTAGAGAAGGTCAAGTCTCGCCTACAAGGATGGAAAGGTAAGTTGTTTTCTTTCGGGGGATGGATTACCTTGATTAAGTATGTGTTGGTTAATCTACCGGTGTACTACATGTCATTATTTTCTATGCCTAAAGCTATAGCTGAGGAGATTAATAAATATATAGCCAGATTTATGTGGAACGTTAAGTCTGACAGATGTATTCATTGGATAAAATGGGATATGGTGAGTGGTCCGAAATCCCATGGTGGTCTAGGATTGTTTGATGTCAAAGTTAGGAATTGAGCACTGTTGAATAAATGGATCTGGCGTTTCAGTGAGGAGATAGATAGTTTATGGAAGAGGATTATTGTTGCTAAATATCATTCTGATCCTGTCGCAATTCTCCCCAAAAGTATTAACGTTAGAAGGTCGAAAGGGTTGTGGATTGACATCGTGTTTCCGATATTGTCAATGGAGGATGACTTCCTTTTAGACGTTCGGTGTGCAACAGGGAATGGTTCAAGAATAGAATTCTGGAGTGACCACTGGACTGAGGTTAGATCTTTGAAGGCAGCTTTCCCTCGAATATATGGGTTGGCTATTAAAAAACTCGGCTAAATTTGTGAGTTTGGGAGTTGGGGTAATGGAGTTTGGCTATGGAGAATTGAGTTAAGGCGTTCATTGTTCTCTTGGGAATTACCGATGTGGAGCCAATTTTACCAAGTTATAAACATGGGTGCTGCTGCCAGTCCTGGGATTGATAGATTGTTGTGGTCTGGGGCTTCCAATGGCAAGTATTCTGCTCGAGAATTCTATATTCAGTCGGCTTCGGTTGGAAAACCCCAAGATCCTATATGGCATGTAGTTTGAAATAAGTTCATGCCTCCTAAAGTGGCTGCTTTTGTTTGGAAAGCGGTATATAATAGGTTGTCGGTAGCGACTGAATTAATTAAGAGAGGTATTAATGGTAGTGTTCAGCCGCTTTGCTCATTTTATAAAGAGCATAACGAAGATGTTAGCCATTTGTTAGTTCATTGCGTTGTTGTATGGCAAGTGTGGCAAAGGTGGTGCTCCTTATGGAATGTTATTTTCCCGCCCCCCTCGAATGTTAAACAACTTTTAGAGATATGGTCGTCTCAGTATATTAGAAGGAAAGTCAGTAAGCTTTGGCATCTCAGGTTTTTTAGACTGATTTGGAAGATATGGTTGTGCAGGAATAAGTCTAGGTTCAATGGCGATTCTTTTACAGTCGATAGGATTTTTAATCTGGTGTTATTGCAGGTTGGGTTTTGGGCTAAGATTTTATGGTCGTCTCTGATCCCTCATGTGATTGATTTTGTGCGTACTCCGGATTCCATTATCTCGGGCTGATTTTATTCAATCTTCAGTATTGTTTCTGGTTTCGATAGTTCAGTGTTGTCTTTCTCTTTATTTCTCATTTTGACTATCTTTGTTCTCCGATTCTGCTCTCTTTGGATATGCGAGGAGTTTTCTGTAGCGGTTCCTTTCTCCATAGTTCTTATCGTCTAAAAGTTTTGTTCATCAGGACTGCTTGCCCGTTGGGAGTGTCATAGTTGGCTTTTTGGGGGATGCATGCTTTAGAATTCTGCAAGTTTCTGGATCTTCTTCTATGATTGAAAGAGTGGTTGCCACTTCGTTTTGAGAGACTCGTCCTCCTTTCTCTTTGGCTTAGTTGTCTTCATATGATTTTTTTTTTCATTTCTCTAGTATCCTGTTTGATTTATTATCTTGGTTGTGATGTTTCGTTTGATCTCGTTTTATGTATCATTTCATGTTCTTGGTTGGGTCCTGGTTTATTCATGAGTTGGACAGGGGATAGTGGTTGGACGGACGGTTGGTTCGAGTGTTGTTATTGTTTTATGTATTTGATCTTTACCACCCCAGGGTATACTCTTTTTCCTCCATTTAGAGATAGGGAGGTTTTTTAATGAGGACCTGATCGTGGTGTACTTTGTTATCTTTCTTAATACAAAGTACCCTCTTTAAAAAAAACTATCAATGACATGATGGTTAATAAATTTAATATAATAATAAATTTAATATTTAATTTTATAAAATAGTTTTATAAATAAGAAGAAGAATTCGAGGAACGTTCAATGAGAAAACTGAGGCTTCAACCCATGTTATATTATATGAAATTTTAGGTTCAATTTTAGTGATAGAGTACTAAATTGAAGCCTAAATTAAACGTTAAGCATGATTTTGAAAATAATAAAGTTTAGGTACCATAAACAGAATTAAATTTATAGTTCAAGCACTAAATCTGTAATTTACCCAAAAAAACCATAACATCGGCACGGCGGCAGCCTTCTATATTTACAGAAAAATAGCTAAAATTTTTTAATCCGCCAAAAAATAACGACGGTGTTGTTTCCGTTGGCAATGATCCCAGTCGGCAATTTTCATTTTCACCTTTTCAAACTCAGAAATACTGCAAGGTAACGTGATCCCACCCGATTGATTGAACCCGTAAACCCGCTCCGCTTCCTTCAACAGCTCACCAAATAGCGGGTGGTTGAAATAAATGACAGGCACTAACATCCTCTTCGTGTTACCTTCTGATTCGCCGACGTACACAGCAAGCTGCCCTTTCGGCACTCCAACCCGCTTCGCTCCTTTTCCACCCAATTGAATGTAACCCGGATCCGAGTTCGAATCACACAGCCCCTTGATTCCCCGTCGAATAAACGTCGCAAAAGAGCAGATTCTTGTTAAAGGGTTGTGGCTTCGGGTCGTATGTCCCAAGAAACTAATCCTGAAGTTTCTTCTTCTTCTTGTAGGTCGTATTATCCATTTGCAAACCTTCACTAGCTTGCGTCCGAGCTGGAACCCTCTGATTCTCTTCATGATCTTTACGTCGAAAAAAAAATAGTGTCCGAATGTCTTTGACAAATAAGTGCTTATGAGACTTGCTAATGGTCTGTTTTCAGACATGGGTATCAGACTCTCATTGCAGTGCCTCTGTTTCTTGTTCGGTTTGTCTTCCCCCCCCCCCTAAGTTTGGTGGGTTTGGAACAGTGGCTGGTTGCTTTGGATCGAGAATTGAAGCATGACACGAGAACAAGGTTCGGTCTTTTTGGAGGAGATTGAGAGATGTTTATATAGAAGATTTTTGTAAGAGAAAATCAGAGATCGTAATGGTCAGCACCAGGCGCGCTGTAATGACTTAGTAGAGTGGGACCGAAAAGGAAATCTTTTTTTTCTTTGTTTTAACATGTTATCATGTTTGTTTGTTTGTTTGTAGGGGTTAATATATATATATATAAGGATAAACTTTATTATTTAGACTGCTATTTTTATTTTGTTTTAGTATTTAAATTTTATTATTTTTAAATTATATTTAACGTTTAGATTTTATTTTAGTATACGGTCGTTAAAAATCTAAAGACGATATTGACGTGACATCATAAGATAATATCATGTCATCACTAAAAAAATAAAAAAAAAAAGTTCCATTTTAATAGGTTTGCCAAGTTTTTAAAGGTGGGATATGTATTTTATTTTTAACAATGATCTATATTTTGCAATAATATGATATATCATAATCAATAATATTATATCATATCCCAAAATCATTATTTAAAATAAAATTAAAATGTTCTTTGGTTTTATTTTCTCAATTTGTTTATAATTTTTTTTCCTATATTTCAAAGAAATTATTATTTTATTTATACGCAACATTAATCATCGTTTATGTCACACTATATGGTTATATAACACACATGTGATTTACATGTAAGAACATTTCTATAATGATTTAATTAATATATAATATGCTTAACATATACTGATAATTTGAAGATGAAATTAAAATATTTAAAGTTTAGTGATTGATTTAAATGAGGACCATAATTTGGGGATTAAAATGAAACATTCAAAAGTTTGAAGAAAAATTTAAAAGAAAAAATATAGTTTAAGGATGAAATTAAAACATTGAAAAATTTGGAAACCAATTTAAAATTAGTATCATAATTTATTTACATGCGGTGCAATACTCATGTAACTTTACAAGCACTAACTATTATTTGCCTATTTGGTCTAATTAGTTGAGACAAATTTAGAGATTTAAATATTGATATATAAAACATTTATCTTTTAATCTATAAATGAAATAAAGTACGGGTAATTTATATATTATTTCAGTGGTTAAAATAATCGTTGTTAATTCCAAGGTTACGAGTTCGAGCACCAACAACCGCAAGGATAATTGAGCGTTTATTGTCAAATAGTTGAAAGTACTTAGAACAGATACTACTTTGTAATTACCTTTAGCTCTACCAAATATATATATATGGGTAAACTACACCAAATATATATATATGGGTAAACTACACGGGATACCACTAAACTATGGTTAAAAATCAATTTGACCACCAAGGTTTTAATTGAATCAATCAGACCACCCAACTATTTTAATGTTTCAATTAAACCACCGCCCGTTAATTTTTAATGTAGGTGGTAATGTGTCCGTTAATAAAATTAGTATAATTCTATATTTGGTCCTTAATATTTACATATTCTATCAATTTAGTCACTATTTTAATTCAATTAAATAAATTTAACATCCAATTAAATGATTACGTGTGTTATTATGATAGAAATAACCATCCAGCTCAGTTGGTAGAGCACAAGGTTCTTAACCTTGGGGTCGTGGGACCGAGTCCCACGGAGGATATTTCAAAATTCGGAGGTCTCCTACGAAAGCTGCTCTTAACTTGGTGTTGGGGGTAACCTACTATCTTACCTCCCTTACCCTATTACATATGGGAATAAGGATCAGCTAATTTTCTAATAAGGTGGTGATATGTGTCACCACCTTTATTAAAGGAAAACAGTTGGTGAAAATACAAAGCTACGGTGTGGTTTCGATCCAAGGCCAAGTAGAGAATTATCGCACGCCTAAACCACCCCCTAATTTTTCTTTTTAATATAAATTAAAAAGCTGTCAGCTTCTATTTTCATTTTGACTTTCATTTTTTTCTTTCATTAAGAATGACAGGATATATAAAATAATATTCTAAAAATATGTCATATGTTGTTGGCTGAGTGGTTTGTGCCTTTGTTCATCATCCTTTTTTGGCCTTGGTTCGAATCTTCCCAACAACAATTACTATTTCCTTCAATTATTTTCTTTAAATTGGTTGTGACATGTGTCACCACCTTATTGGAAGATAAATAAATTAGAATAAATAAATTAAAATAATTATCCAATCATTTAATGACACATCTGACTATCTAATTGGATATTAAATTTATTTAATTAAATTAAAATGATGACTAAATTAATAAAATGTGTAAATATTAAGGATTAAATATATAATTATGCTAATTTTATTAATGGACACGTAACCACCTCCGTTAAAAATTAACTACATGTTGTTTGATTGAGGTATTTAAATAATTGAATGATCTGATTGATTCAACTGAAACTTCGGTGGTCAAATTAATTTTTGACTATAGTTTAATGGTTTCTTAGTTTATCATATATATATCTTTTTCAAAAAAAAAAGTAACTTTTAGATAAAATGCCGACTTTTGCCATCAAATAAAACCGGGAGGCACAGGAATAGGGTCGAGCTTACTGCGGCTCTATGGTTTCCTAAGAGGCGGGATTTAAATTAATTAATCAGTTTAAATAACCACTACCAATTATTTAAGGCTCCAACATACTTAATTTCACATTAACATCTAATTAACAATAATTATCTATCTTCTTATTTAAAATGTATCTGTAGGTAACTAATGGACAGTTTTTGTTTGTGGTTAGTCTCTTGATTAGACATTTGGTCTTTCTTAATTAAATTTAATACATTGTATTAATTGAAATTAGGAAACACTGTGATATTTATTCTAATAATAGTTTTTCTTATTCTTGATTTGTTTTGGCAACTTTTGATCACATTATGCATAGAGAACAGTCGACCACAAGCAAATACTTGAGATAAGAACCACACATTTGTCCTAATTTTGTTGAATTCCCCCGACCAAATCTACCCATGTTTGGGTTGCTTTGTTATTATCTGACCGAGTTTGGTTCATGCGAAGTCTAAAACAGAAAGTTTTGGTCTCGTAGATATTATCAACCACGTGATGTATATTGAGTATTTGTCCGATTTTGTATAAATCTAATCATCTTCTCTCGTTTTTGTGTATGTAAATTATATCTTAAGTAATAAAATTCTAGGGCATGAGTATATATTTTTCTCAGTTAGAACGTAATTTTGAATAAAATACTTACTTTTATTTGGAGCAAAATACAAAGACGCGTGTGCATGTAAAGATGTTGTGTATGTAGTTTGGGTCTAAACTCCCCAACCCTTCTTACATAATTTTGTCATGTTTTTCGTTTGTGTTGGACCATTGCTAGCTCAGTTTCGATGTGCAGGTTTTTACTATTTTCCATGGATAAAATACCAATAATAGAAAAAAATGATTATTTAAAAAATATATAAGGGAACTCTTGGACTAGTTCCACTAGTTAAGAGAATTTTTCTTTTTTCATTAGTGATTACAGTTCAAACAATATAATCTGTACATGTGCATAAACACGGATAGATCGAAGGGGACGATTATGGGCACTCGTCCTCTAAAATTTAAAATTACTATATTTAATTTTTTTTGCATTTTCTATGTCCATTCACGTGTGAATTTAAATCTACGTATTTTTTTCTTAAAAAAAATCTTAGAAGGGTAGTGCCAAAATTAATCCTACCGAAACGAGGAAAAGACAAATAAACCAGAAAGGCGTGAAATCAGGCCCTTCTTCCGCAACTTTGTAGTATCATTTTTGGTACAAGCAACTCAGACTCGTGGCCATGGCAGCTTATAATTAGAACTTCAATTAGTGCTCAAAAGAGACAAAAACAGAAGGCCTAGATGAGTTTCTAATTAATTTACCATTTGTGAAGAGGAAACTTGAAAGAAACTGCATACTATATCTGATGTTATCATGGACTTGGGTACTATTCTTCTTCCTTTTCTTTATGTTTATTAGCCGATGAAATTTTAGTAGGATCCCATGAAAAACTACTTCATTTATAGTTTTAACCTTTCGGTGGAGGATATACCCTTCATACAATTGTGCAGGTAAGATTATCACCAACAAGCCTATTAAATACCTTTCCCTCTGTGTTATTTTAATAAAAGGAAAACATAACCCCAATTTGGAACCTTACTGGAAGATAGCAATGTTGAATCAAAATACAGTAGAAACTCAAATTGATCGAGAAGAAGAAAAAACTCTCTTTAAAATAATTTCACAAAATTGTAAAAGATGAAGAATTCTTAATAAAGCTTTCAAATGCTTATAATTAAGATTTTATTGTTGGATGATAAAACTCAAATACAAGTAGGGTATTTATAGGTTACAAGAAACAATCTAAACCACTCATTAAAATAACCACAAAATAATTTAAACCATTGAAATTAAAAATGAGAAAAATAACTAATTTTTCACCTAACTAAATTGATGTAAGCAATGACGTCAAAGCTAACGACGAAAATGTTCAAACTTTCCAACACTCAAGCTTTTTGTAAACAAGTCAGCAATTTGCTCATCTGTCTTGACTTGCCTCATCTCAACCTCTTCTTGCAAAACTTTTTTTCCCTAACAAAGTGGTAATGTACTTCCACATGTTTAGTTCTTGCATGAAAAACAAGATTCTCCGCCAGCCGAATTACCGATTGGTTGTCACAATACAACATAACTGCATAATCTACTGGTTGATGTAGATCATTCATTAGTTGTATTAGCCACGTGTTTTCTTGAGCTACCATTGTTGTTGCTCGGTACTCTGCTTCTGTAGTTGACAAGGACACTGTCGGTTGCCTCTTGCTACACCAAGAAATTGTTCCAGAGCCAAGCTTAAACACATACCTAGTTGTTGATCTCCTGGTGTCATTATCTCCTGCATAATCAGCATCAAAATAACCAACTAACTTGCAGTCTTCACCTTTCTTGTACAAAAGACCATAGTCAATTGTACTCTTCACATATCTTAGTATTCGTCGAACTGCTTCCAAATGAGGTTTCTTTGGATTTTGCATATACCGATTCATCACACTAACTACA